CGACCTTGAGGTTAGAAGTCCAGGGCACTCCGAGGACGGTTCTATTTCAGAGTCACCACTATGCGTTGGAACTCCATCCAGGGCGTCGGGAAGTGGGATGGGGTGTGTGTGTTTCTTTTGCTGCAACCTAAACAATAAGGTGTATGTGTGTATATCTGGTTTTGCTATAGCCTAAATAAACAGCCACATTTCTTCTAGGGAGTGAGCGGGATGTGGGAACCACCCTTGAACCAGGGCTGGGCTGGGAGAAGGTGCCTCAGTCAGAAGAAAAGGATCAATCAAAGAACCGCTCAGACTCCAGGCCAAGGTCAAGATGGGCTGGTCCAACTCAGGTGTGTCACCGGACACCTCTCCCAGGGATGGCCACCTTCTCCCTCGGCAGCCCACAGCGGTCCCTACCGGGCATCGGGGCCCCTGCCACAGGGGGCGCCCTGGCTGGGGGTGCCACCTGGGGCCTTCATCCCGTCTCTCTTTTCTTCTTGCTCGCCGCCCAGAGAATTCCCAGCACCTTTCTCGATGCTTCCAGGTTCCCGCCTCCCAGGCCCAGGTCCCAGCGTCCCCAGAGGCCCTTCTCCCACATCCTCCCTTTCCCTGCCGCCGTTCTCCGGGACCCCAGGACAGGCGGCCTTCCGCACTCACCTGCGAGCCCAGAGCCGGGCCCTCCATGTCCTTAGGTGCGCACCACAGTGGAGGCGCTGGCGACTGGGCACAGTGGCGGCCGCAGCCGGGGCACCAGCACGCCTAGGGCTGCCCCTACTCCCACTTCCTGCTCGCGGCCCCGCCTCCGCCGCGCGGCCTCCGCTGGCGCCCAGCGCGGTCAATCAGCCTCAGGAAAGCCAATCCCAGCCCTCTCTTCGCTTAGGGGCGGGATTTTCGCGCCGCCGGGGGCTGAAGCCCCGCCCCCGGCCTGCCCTCTGACCGCCCCCAGCCTCATCCGAGGCGGGCCACCTTGCATCCCAGGAGTCCTCTCCTGCTCGCTGCTCAGGAATAGCATCAGGTCGTTATTCCAATATTAACGAAATCCGTTGAGAGCAAATCTGAACTTGGCTATTTGCAAAATGACCTTGTGAAAGTCTCTTCCTTTCCATCTGAGTCCGACTCTGTGGAATGGGGAAAATAAAGGCGTCTACCTCTCAGAATTGTCCGGAAGATTAAATGAGAAAAGGTCCCTCGGCCAAAAATGACACATAATCAAAGAGGAACAAATGTCTGCTTTCAGACATTTGCCACACTCCACCTCAATGACCCTCGGCCAGTCACTTCTACAATTTAGAACTCCTGTCTCAAACAAAACTCTCTATTTCTGTATCTATCTCAAGCCCACTGCCAATTAAGTCAGTTCCAGCTCATACTCTACATAAGGTTTCTGAGATCGCGCCTCTTTATGGGAGCAAGTGGTGATTTTGAACTGCCGACCTTGTGGTTAGCAGCCCAGCACTTATCCCGCAGAGGCACCAGGTTCTGTGTGTGTGTTTGTGTGTGTGTCCGCGCGCGGGTGTGCGTGCGTGCGTGCGTGGGCGTGCACTTGCAAAGTTCAAAACTACAAACCAATCTAGAAATGATGTACAGTCTTGGAAATCTTATGTTTACACACACACACACACACACACACACCAGCTGCCCTGCTGTGTACAGTCTTGTCCTGATGGAAAGGCTGTGGATCTAGGATAATGCTTGCATCTGGTGGGTTTGAACCAGCAACCTTGCAGTTAGCACCCCAACACCTAGCCCACAGCACCACCAGGGATCCTTAACCATTGAACACAGGTTTTTGTTTGCGATTATTCTATTATGTGTCTGTTGCCTATCTGAACTAGATTAAGTATTTTGAAAAAGAACAGAAAACATGACACCACAGTGGGCCTTGGGAGGGGTGGTAGCCCTCCCTGGAAGAAGTGTCAAGTGACGCACCTGAGTTAGACCTGCTCATCTGGACCTTGGCCTGCAGTCTGAGCCTTTCTATTGAGTCCTATTTTGGCAGAGGTACCATGGCACTCCCCTTCTCCCAGCCCAGCCCTGCCTGTTAGGGTTGGTTCCCACATGTTTGCTCCCTCCTTGGAAGAACGGAGGCTGTTTATAAAGGTTAGAGCAAAACAAGCAAAGAAACAAAACAAAAATGGTGCTGTCAAGTCTATACTTGGGCCCTGTAGGCCAGGGGTGGGAAAGGTCCGGCCCACGGTCTATAGAAAACTCCAAATCAAACTCACTGCCAACAAGTTGATTCCAACACATAGGGATCTGATGGTACAGGGTGGAAGGGCCCCTGAAACTCTCCATGGGAGTACAAAGCCCTGTCTTTCTCCCTCAGAGAAGCCGATGGGTTCCGACTGCCGACTTCGCAGACAGCAGCCCAGCACTTCACCTCCAGGCCATCAGGGCTCCTCATAAGACCCCCAAACCATCAATCCCAGCCAACATCATACACTTCACCCAAGAGAAGTGGTTCTGGCCATCTTCTCACCTAACAACAACAACAACAACAAATATCCTACAACAAATCAATGCCATCAAGTCTATCTCTAATGAGGGCGGCCCTATGGGTCAGGGTAGAAATGTCTCTGTGGGTTTCTGAGACCAAGCAAAGGTTTGACTAGATGCAGCAGGTTAATTTTTTAGTTGATCATTCCATACAGCTTACTAATGATTTTATAAATATCCAAGGGCCTTGGCAGAAAAGGTTCCCCACCTCCGCTATAGGACAAAGAGCTGTCCCATAGGGTTTCGCAGGCTGTGAATCTTCATGGCTACATCTCTCTTCTGCAGAGCAGGCTGGCAGGTTCAAACCACTGAGAGTTTGAGTAGGCCACCTGGTGCTTAACCACGGTGCTACCAAAGCTTCTGATGACTCCTCTTACCCTGTAATATTAATTTGATAAGATTAAACAAATGTATCTGGAATGGAGATGGGTGACATGGATCTCAGAAGCTTGGGAGCAGCCCTCTAAGATAACCACCACTCATCTTTTCCCCTCTGGAGCAGAGAAGTGTGAAGACATCCCATCAAAGCCTCAAGAACAATGAGTGCAGAGGAGGAAGGGACTACACAACCCACAGTCTCCACTAGCCTAGTGGGGAGTACTCATCTCCCAGTCAACACCAGGAGACCGGAAGGGCCGCATTTGTTCCTCAGAAGGTGGGGGGAAAGCTGGAAAGAAAGGGTGAAGGGAAGTGAGGAATTCAGGAACAAAGTGAGAAGAATGTGGTCACCCGGAGGGGATTGGCATTAATGTCATGAGACAAAATGTGTATAAATTGTTGACTGGGAAAGGAATTAGCGCCATAAACTTTCACCCAAACCACTTGAGAAAATACTTGAGGGGGAAAAAAAGTCTCTGGAAATCCAACAACACTGCTTTTCCTAACAAAAAACCTACCTTCATACAAAGCAAGTGTAAATGATTTGAGTGCCCCTGTCTATGCGGCACACCACCTTTCCACCCATCACTATTGGGTCAATACCAACTCATAGTGGCCGTATAGGACAGAGTAGAACTGTCCTTTGGATTTCTGAGGCTGTACATCTTTATGGGAGTAGACAGTTTCAGCTTTCTCCCTGGGGAAGCTGTGGGTTTGAACAGTTGGCTTTGGGGTTAACAGCCCCACTCACACCCATCTACAACACTGGGGCTCTTTATACCAGCTTCAGCTGCACACAAAGTCCCACCCTTTGAGGGTGGAATCATTCCCTATCTACGTCTGAACTCCCAGCACCCAGCACTGCACTGAGACAGGGAAAATGTGCTGTCAGACGCTATTGAGTGGGCAAGTGGAGGAAAAAGTGTGTCATCCATCAACTTCTATGAAACAAGGAAGGACAAATTGAGTGGCAACAAGAAGTACAAGCAACTTCCTGGGAGAGTCAGAAGAAACAGCAATTAATTCTGACAGCGAGGATGAGACTCTAGCCAAGGCTTACGAAGACAGAACTTTGGGGTGAGGTCATTTTGCTTCACTAATAAGCTCCCTGCTTATTAATCACTTACTACATGCTGTCACCTAGGACAGTTGTTGCGAACACATGACATCTGATCTATGAGATGGGTGTTGCCACGTCCATTACCCAGAAGAAGAGACTGAGGTCCCGACTGTGTCCTTCAAACAAGTCACTCTGTTGGCAAGTGGTGACTCAAACCCAGATCTCTTCCCCCAAAGCAGCTTGGTCAACGTGGTTTGGTTTTATTCCGCTTAGGGATGGAATTAGAAAATACATTTGATGAGCGAGACTTTCAATGAGAGAGACTTGAAATGTGTTATCTGAGTGCTTGGACATTGATACCCTAACACCCACACATCTCCCACTTCTGAGCCCCATTTCTGGCCCCTCTTTGCTTGTTTGCTTGTTTTGCTTTGGGAGAAGCATGTCCATGAGTAATGGATATGCTCTTGGGCAAATCGCTCCATCTCTTTGTGCTTTGGTTCCCTGCTCTGTAAACCTGGGGATAATCATAGTACATACTTCACTGGGCTGTCAAGAAACTTGAATGAACAATGTATGTAAAGTAGTCAGACGAGTGCCTGGATCATAACAAGCATGGTATATGTTTAGCTGTCACTCCCTATCATCTTCATTGACATCATCACCGTCATCAGGAGTGGGCGTCCGAGGAGAGAGAGCACTGAATGGATGACACAGTGGGGTGGTGTCATCAAAAGGTCCAGGATAAGATCCAGCATATCCGGATCCCAGTTCCGGCTTTACCATCACTTACTGCTTGTCCCTGGGCATGTTGCCTCCCCTCTCTGACAGTTTTCTTGCTTGGAACACCAGGGTGAGTAGGGAGGCTGGAAGCACTAACTTCTAGGGTCACCCTTAGCTTGGCTGTCCAGGTCATGTTTCCCCAGCTGAGAGCAGACTTTGCCTCTCAGATCCCTCATCACTCACTGCCACCGAGTCAATTGTGACTCATAGCAACCGTGTAGGACAGGATAGAACTGGCCCTGTGGGTTTCCTGAGAACGTGCCTCTTTACAGGAGTAGAAAGCCTTGTCTTTCCACATCCCTCACAGCACTTTTGAAACTAATCTCTTTGTGGCAACACTATTCCTTTAGCAAACATGCACTGAGTGAGTATATGTGCTAGGCACTGTTCAAAATTGCGGCTTCATGAAAAGATAGCAATCAGTTCCCTGGACTTTAAGGGTTTATTGCCTAGCAGCTAGGTTTTGTGTCAACTTAACTGGGCCAGAACCCTCCATAGTTTGACAGTTAACATACAGTGAGCTCCCATGATGAAATCTAACATATCTCATCGCATAAGTTTGCAAACAATCACCTCTCCTAGAACCCTGTGGCTGACCTTCCTCAGCGGCTCCATGAATACCTGGCTCTGCTTGGCTCCTTGTGTGCATGCCTCTGGGTCCTGCACTCTGCTGTTTCTAGAGTTCAAATATTTTAGGGTGTCTTAGGCTGGATGATGTAGAAAAACAAAGCCAGGGAGTTTGTATATGGATGGATTCAGGGAGATGTATATCCATACAGTGGCTCACAGTTGTAGAGGAGGGCAAGTGCCAAGTCAGATGTCAGGCTGGAGGTTTCTTCTGACTCCTGCAGCAGCAGGAGCTGAGAAACCCAGTATTAGCAGGTCAGATGGCAAGCTTCTGGCTATAGAGGTGAATGACTCTATGGTTGGCAGTCTGTTGATAATTCCAGGACTGACGGGCAATATGTCAGGCCACTGGCTCAAGTCCAAAGAATCTGAGGTCAGAAGACCAGCCGGATGT